CCAGGACCCTCCGCACCCCCCTCCAGTGTCCGCTGCCCTAGGGCCCGGCCCCTTCCCCCTGCCCCCTTCCCACCTTCATTTCATACTCCTCCCGGGTGTCGATGGTATCACAGCGCAGGTCCTGCTTCAAGTCCACGTCGTCCTTGAAGGACTGCAGAGCAGCAGGAGTGGGCATTGGGAATCCGGCTCTTACCCTCCACGCACCCCATCCCCACCCCCAGAGGCCATCCTTAATGGGAAAGGCCGGGGTCCTGGGTGGGCTTGAGGCTGGTACCCCCTCCCAGCGAAGACTTGAGATGTGGTGGGAAGAAGCCAGAGACCTGGGCTCTAGCACAGTTCTGTCACTAATGCACAACGTGACCGGGGCTCGCTGGTTGCCCCTCTCAGGGATCTAGCCATGAGGCAGTTGGAAGTGAAAAATTCTAGGGGTTTCAATTCTGACACTGCAGGGAAAGGAGGGGGCAAAGGCAGTCTGGGGGGGGGGCACCTGCCTAGCCTCTGCTGGTGGGAAATCACCTGGAGGGTGTGTGAGCATGTGTGCATGTGTGTGAGCATGTATGAACGTGTGTGCATATGTGTGTGTGTGGACCAAGGCCAGCTGACCGAGGGAGGAGCGAGGGACAGTGGTTATTAGAGAACTGGGGGGGAGGGGGGCAGTCCCAGGAGTGTGACAAGGGGAGTGGGCCAGGGCAGGGCAGGGCAGGCCCCTTACTGAGTAGATGGCTTTCATGACGCGGGTGGCTGTGGAGACGCTGGCGGTGTCGTCCTCCCGGTCAGAGTGCATGGTGAGTGGCTCACGGTTCACCGTCTCCACCTTGATGTCCAGTTTCCTGAGGGTCACGTCCTTGCGACCTGGGACAGGGGAGACGGCCTGGACGCTCGCTGCCAGCCTCGCAGGGGTGATTTCTGGACCCACCTTGACTGGGAAGTGCAACTGCCACACCCCAGCCCCTCCAAGCGAGGCCCTGCCTCTGGAGGCCTGGGGTGGGCGGGGAGGGCCGGGCCCACGGGCCATACTCACTGCCTTTGCGACGCCGGTAGAGGAAGAACACCAAGGCCACGAAGGAGAAGGTGAGCAGGATGCCCGCGCCGATGGTGGCTCCGGCGATGATACCCACAGGCAGCACCTCTTCAGATGAGAAAGGAAAGGACGGGTAAGGACGGAGCCTCCCCTCTCTGGGGCTCTGAGCTCAGTGCTGGCTGAGGACCAGGCTGGCCACAGCCACAGGCTCCCGGGACTGTGCTCGGGTTGCCTTACGTAAAGGTGGGGATTTTGGAGGAAGGCCTGCATTGTGTTTGGGTTTGGGCCAGAGCTTAAGCTTGAGCAGAGTGGAGGGCGTGGTGATGCCTTATCCTAGCTTCTAGGGCATCCCCTCGACCCTGGTCTGGTTCCAGTGGGGAGGCCCACGCCAGTGATCTCCCTCTGAGCCCCGCCCTGGGAGAGAGGAGGGAGCGGGACCCCCAGGCTGTCCAGCGCCCCGGCCACCAGCCAGCACCGCTGTCACCTCGCTCCTCCAGCTGGATGATGGCGGTGCCCGGCCCGAAGCTGTTCCAGGCAGTGCAGTTATAGTGGGTCTGAAAGTCAGCCTCCATGACGTTGTTGATGGTGAGTGTGGACAGCACCCCGCTGCCGGAATTGGTCCTCTCCACCGTGTAGCGTTCCAGGGTCCCCACCTCCAGGAAGTTTTCCTTCCAGGCCCACGCCTGTGGGGAGGGCAGGGGGGTAAGAGAGGGGCAGGAAGTCAGAAAACCTCACCCTTCCTCAAGGCGTGTGCCCTGTGTGCCACACAGCCCAGCCCAACACACCCTGCCACAAGCCCAAGTCACTCTGACACCCACTGCCTCAGGCCTTGGCATTGAACCTCCAGCCCAGTGGCTCCCACACATGACTGAGACGTACGCCAGAGACATTCAGACATAACTAGGGACGTTCTTTAAAATGCCCATTCCTGGGACTTATCGCCTAAATAGGAACCTCTTTTTTTTTTTTTTAATCCTCACCCAGGAATATCTTTATCGATTTTTAGAGAGGGAGGGAGAGAGAAACATTGGTGTGAGAGAGAAACTTCGATCGGCTGCCTCCCATGTGTCCCTACCAGGGGTCAAACCTGTAAACTCTTGGTGTGCGGGCCAATGCTCCACCCAACGGAGCCACCCAGCAAGGGCGGAATCGGTGGGGTTTTTTAAAATATATTTTATTGATTTTTTACAGAGAGGAAGGGAGAGAGATAGTCAGAAACATCAATGAGAAAGAAACATCGATCAGCTGCCCCCTGCACACCCCCCACTGGGGATGTGCCTGCAACCAAGGTACATGCCCTTGACCAGAATCGAACCTGGGACCTTTCGGTCCGCAGGCCGACGCTCTATCCACTGAGCCAAACCGGTCAGGGCGGAATCGGTGTTTTTATAAGGATCCCATGCGATGTATGTGACGTGGGTGCACCATTTGGGGACCCCTGATGTGGAAAAAGCCCTGGGTGGGGGAGTCAAGAACACAGTGCTCCCTGCGAGTCCCCATGTGGCCTCCCTTCCCTCTCCGGGCTGTTTCCTCACCTGTGGCGTGAGGGGACCAGACTGGACAACAAGGTTTCTCCCACATAAGCCAGTCCTTCCATCGTACCCTAACCCAGAGCCAGCCCCGCGCAAACCTGCCGCTGCCTTGCGAGACCCAGCCACAGACGCTCATAAAGACCTCTCACAGGAGAGGGGGTCCCCGTGTGTCCCCTCCCCCCGAGGGGAGCGTGAGGGGTGGTGCTGGCCGAGAACTGGCTCCTGTCCAGGATCAGCTGTCCCCACTCAGAAGCAAAGCCCCCGGGAGCGGGGCCACTCCTGGTTCGGCAGCCGTGGTAATGAAGTGTCCCTGGGCAGCCCTGCAGGCGGCCAAATGGTTATTAAATGTGATGAGGGGTTTGACGGTTAATGGCCACGGAAGAAATTAATGGCTCATGGTGTGGGGAAGAGGAGAAAGGAGGGGGATGGTGCGGGAGCCGGTGGAGAGGAAGGAGAAGGGAGGGGAGTGGCTGTGGGACGGGGTGGGAAGGAGAGCTGCTGGGCAGGGCTGAGGGGAGAGGCAGAGGAGGGAGCAAGGAAAGATCAGGAGGAAAGGAAGGAGATGAGGGAGGAGAGCAAGAGTGGTTCAGTGGTTCAGCATCGACCTGTGAACCAGAAGGTTATAGGTTCGATTCCCAGTCAGGGCACATGCCAGTTGCAGGCTTGATCCCTAGTGTAAGGCATGCAGGAGGCAACCGATCAACGATTCTCTCTCATCATTGATGTTTCTATCTCCTCCCTTTCTGAAATCAGTTAAAAAATAAAATAAAAGAGTGGTACCTAGGGAATTGACATGAACCTCGAGAGGGCACCCCCTGGCCTTCCACCCCTGCTGTCCTGCTGTCAGATGATTCTATCTCCTTCTCCCTTTCTGAAATCAATTTAAAATTTTTTTAAAAAAAGAGTGGTACCTGGGGAACTGACCGTGAACCTCAAGAGGGTGCCCCCTGGCCTTCCACCCCTGCTGTCCTGCTGTCCTGTTACTTGTCACGCGCCACATGTTAGGGTAACTCTGAGGTTCAAACGCTAAGCAATTTGCTCAGGGTCACACAAATAAGAGAGGTGGTGGGACAGAGCAAGGAAAGGGACAGAGGGACTTAAAGTTGGAGGATCGGAGAGCAGGTGCTGACTGCCCCATGCCCCGTGCGTCCCAGCACTCACAATGCGGTCTGGGGGAGGTGTGCTCCCGATGAAACACTCCACCTTGCCGCCGTCTCCCCTGACAGCGTACTGCACCGCCTCGCTGGAGATGATGGGGGGCCCTGCAAGCAGAAGACGCAGTCAGGGTCAGCTGGAACCCGCAGCACCTGCCCCCAGGGCCCAGTCCCTCACGGGCCACTCACCGTTCACGT